AAAAAAAAACATTTTCAAAAGTGTGTGTGTGTGTGTGTGTGTGTGTGTGTGTGTGTGTGTGTGTGTGTTCCAGAAGAAAAAATGCAACCATGTCACTGTCCCTTAATCTTCTGCTCCATCAGACTGAGTGTCAGTAGGGGGCGCTAGTGCATTTCAGTAATCTGCGTTGGTCCTAATGTCCTAAATGTCCAGAAGCCGATGCTAGATGCAGATTTCAGTCCTGAGATTTTTATGTTGTCCTTACATTGCTCTTAAAAAAATAAGTTGAAAACAGTTTTTGCTTCATATTTTTGTGGAAACTGTGATTTTTTTTTTTTTCAGGATTCTTTTATTAATAGAAAGTTAAAACAGCATTTATTTAAAATAGAAATCTTTCGTAACTATTATAAATGTCTTTTTGGATAAAAGTATTAATTTGTAAAATAAATGAATAACTTACCCCAAACTTTTGAATGGTAGTGTATCACAGAAGACCTGTAGTGAATGTGTCCTCATCCATGCAGTATTCCCTCTTGACAGCTGAAGTGTCTGAACACTGATGAGTCCCAGAGCCGTGTTCATGTTCCTGTGTTGATCATCATCTGATCCAGGTGAGACTCTGGCTGTCAGACCTCATAAAACATCTCTAATGTGTGTTGATGCTGTTGCATAGCTTCATGTGCTTTCAAAACAGAGCATCTCTTTCTGCTGTCATAGGCCAATGGCAGTGAAGTCACAAGCCAAAAATAGGTTCCAGGTCTTAAAAGTCATACATGGTAGCTTGAACTGAATTCGTCAGCTGACTCATTTGACAGGAATAAAAATGAGGCTTTGTCGGACTGAAGTACAGTGCGCTCAATGGATTTTACTGCTGTTAAACAACATGCCGACTGTTCAGCTGACCACACGTCTTTAAGAAAAAACAAAAAACTTTCATTAGACAAAAGCTTAAAATTACACATTGTAATACCTTTATACAATGTGTGCCATTGTAAAGACTTTTGCTTGTCCCAATTCGCATACTATGACCTAAAAGTATGTACTTTTTTTTGTTAAGAAAAAGTACATACTTTTGAGTATGTAGCAGAATAGTAGGCAAGTTTTGGGACATACTACTTCCTCATAACTGCATCTTTAATGGACTGCTCTGTTGCTTAGTTAAAGGCCATATTGAAGTTGAATTCAATATGGCGTCTAACCTGGGTGTATAATGATAATGGCAGAGTAACAATTTAGTTGGAATCACTTTTATAATGATGTTATCAGCTGATGAACGATAAAAACATGAGACAGCCAATCAGAATCCATCCTGCTTTTAACGAGCTTGAGCATTTAAAGCGGCAGATGACAAAACTACACAGTGTTTCGTTAATAAACAGAACTTTATCGCTCGTTGATTTGGATGCTAATATAGTTTTTACAAGATGTAATATAAGTCTCAGGTGCCCCTAGAATGTATCTGTGACATTTCAGCTCAAAAAACCCAAATATCATTTATTATTCCATGCTGAAAATTACCATTTTTAACAGAAACAAAAACATGCTGTTTTCGTGCATGCATCTTTAAATGCAAATGAGCTGCTGTTCCCCGCCCACTTGACAGAAGAGGGCTGTGCCTTTACACGTAAGAAATGAAAAGCACCCTTGGATACTCAAGCCAAAACGAAACATCTGTTTGGTCTTGATTATCATATCTGACGTGCAGTGTTGGGCAAGTTACTCTGTAAATGTAATCAAATTACTGATTACTCCTTTTAAAAGTAATCACGTTACTGTTCTGATTACTTTATTTCAAAAGTAATTAGTAATTAGTTACATTAATAGTTACGTTACTTTTTTCTCCATGAAATTTATGAAATCCCAGCATACAACGCTCCCGATAAATATTTGTTATTAAAGCATCAACATTCACAGAACACTGTTATTTTTAACTAAAGCAAGCGGCTGCTGCGTGCATGGTTTGGCATGGCAGAATGCCAGCAAAGAGCACTGTATTTATAATCTCTAAAAGACATCTCAGTTCATCGCAATCTCACAAATCTCTGTTATAACACAATAAATATATGCATAATGAATCTTTCATAATGTCTACAATTCGTGTGTTATAACGAGAGGATTCGTGAACACGCAAATTTCAGCACTGCATTGCTCAACGCAGCG